TTGCGCGGATGCAGGTGCTTTCCAGGCTACGGCAACGTGCTCGATAAGACTAGTAGAATTTCTAAGAACTCGCTGCTACTGTCATAAAACGGAGTGCTCTACAGAGACATCCGTTGTTATCCCGCCGGAGAAATCGTTTCGCCGAGCACTTTTGTTCTGCATATTCGCCAAAGAGGAGCGCGACTCGACGAGGAGGGATAATGAGTAACGAAGGTTAACATTCATTTGCTTTTTAGTAAAACAGTGAATCACCGCGAGGCTCGAAATCTCAGGGACTTTAGAACACCTTTCAGCTTTAATCTTTGTTTGATAAAATTATCTAAATACTACACGGAGTGGTTCGCGTATTTGTCTAGAGAACAGATCGCGGTAAGCATTATGAGAATTGAAACGGAGCTCGATTTCAAACGTTTATGATAATTCCAGCGGTAAAACGGAGCCATTTGTTTGGCAATTTGGCCGCGGACAAATTTTCCAGCGACCGTTTCCTCCGCGACACAGATATCCCTTCGCCGAGAAAGGCCATCGTCCACGGAACGGAAACGCGGCCCGGATCGTCGCTCGTTATTCGTCCATTCATCCGAGCGACGCGATTCATTTGCCGGAATTACACGGCGAAAGGTGGTGCTGATGACGAAGGGTGCCACAAGATGTCGGAAAGCTAGCGGATATCTGTGCACCTTTTACTTTTGCAATCTCCCGCTCGGTTGAAACGTCAAGAGCGACTCGGAGAGGTTCACGCCCGGACGGAGAGATCCTGAGGGAAAGAGAGGAAAAACGGAGCGGAAAGAGAGAGAGAGTGAGAAAGCAGAAGGGAAAACCGGGAGACGTGAAAGCCGTGGAACGAAGCTGGGACAGAGACAGAGACACGTCTAAAAGGTTTTAAAGAGTCGAGGAACAGCGACGGCTTATTCGAGCCGTTTCGTTCGCGGTACCTCGAGTTACATTTATACCGGTGGAAAGAACGCTTCTCGGGGATGGGATCCCTGGCAAAGGCGCGGGCACAATGTGAACCGCTCGAGAGGATAGAAGCTTTGAAACGCGGGCTCGGAAGGTAGCTGGGACCAACCGGGTGACCCGGTGGCCTCGTAAAACACCGAGCTGACAATGAGCAACGTGCCCGAATGACCGGCACCGATCCGGAAACGCGTCTCGCTGGATACATCGAACAATGCAATCTCAGGATATGTAATACTACGGCTGTCGATACGCGGACACGTCGGATCAACCGTGTTTCCTGTTTTCTGATCAACACCCGCGCGGATACACTAAACCATGACGAAATGTCCTAACCGATACGCGCAGAAACGTGTTGTTTTATTACACTCTATTCTTTTATTATAGCCTTACGATTGAAAATGCGTCTGCAATAAACTTTCATTGATATTGACTGATAATCTACTTGAATCTCTCTTCTATTTCTATTAGACATTCTATTATGTTAAATAAGAAAGTCTTCGGAAAAAGTTACACAGATAAGGGTTACTTTGCTTCTCCTATTTCTACCTATGATAGAGCAGGTTTTTGCACGAAGCCACCGTTTTCAGGCAACGACACTGCTCTTCCGGTGTACGTGCAATTAAAGGTGCTTGCTCACGACTTCCTTTACCGAGGATCGTAAACTTTATCGCGCAATTTGCGTAATGCGCGTAGAAACGTCTAAATAGGAAGAAGAAACGCACGAGTGCGCGGTCTCTTTCAATTAATTGTAGAGCGACAGCGTTTAATGGTTGCAACTAAATAAATAATCGAGCATTAAACGTGGGAAGAAAAAGTAATGGAGGATGTTAGATAGAAGAACCAAGTTGAACCGGGAATTAATGCAAAGAGAAACAACCTTTCTCTCCTCGTCTGCTTAATTTATTGCATTCACAACCTGATAATTTATCTCGAAACCTCATTTATGTACAAAAATTGATCGTTGTAAATATATTATCCAAGCTATTCTAACTCGTTCTCACGAAGCGACAAAAACGAAAAAGGATTACGCGTCCTCGTTTCGAAAATCTGAATAAGCGGAACGACCACCCACCGAAGAGGAACGAAGCCCGAAGGAATCAGTCAGCCGGTACAAGAAATCCTCTTTTAATCTGTAACGTGCCTTCGGGATAGGAAAACGCAAGGCCGTTGGTAATCCCATTTGTCTTCTAGATTCGGCCCAGCCGTGGTCAGGTACGAAGGTAAAAGGGGCACGAACAGGTACACGAGATCGTGGATTCTACCTGTTCCAACGACCCCCCATTTTCTTTTCTTTTCCTTTTCCCTACGATTCGATTCGCTCTCTTTCAGCCGGGATTACGGGACGGTTTTTCCGGCGAAAGTTTCACAATTAGCAGCCGAGACACGTATTCGAAAGCGGGTGAAAAGCATTTTTCACAGGGAATTTTCGTCCACGAGCACGCTTTACGCCTGTTCGTTTCCCCTTTGCGGATTATCACTGGGAAACACATAAATATTATGAGGTGCACGCGAATGTTTCAACCTCTCTTTTAAACGAAGAAGACTACAATTTTTGCGTACCACCGATAAGTTATGGGAGTAAATTACGAACGACCACGTCGAAGTGCGAGCTTATGAAGTGGCTTACGACGAGGCGAATCGATGGAAACTCATTTTTTCCACCAACTCGTACATCATAGCCGAAATCGAAACTTGACAACAAAACCCCCATACGCTACGCGTATGGCGCGTAATAAATCACGGTAAAAAGAGCTCGATCCTTTTTTCCCCTGCAAGCCTGACGAAATCCTAGCTTCTCCTCTACCGTCTGCCTTTCGGCTTGATCTTACAAAGATCCTCTCTATACCCTGCTGGAGAAAACACGCAGGGCCGTAGAATCCCCAACCCCAACCACCATTTTTCTTTTTTTCCCTTTTTCGCTCTGTTTACAGTTAGATCGTCCTCCAAATATTTGAGACACGAAAATAGGGCTCTCACCGTTCGATCGTTACCGAGCACTTTTCTACGAGATGAGAAGAAATTTCGGAGCATTTCTTTTCCCTATCTCCTTCTCGAATCGCTCTCGATAGAACGATAAGGCTACTTTCGATTCGTATACAATTTTGTAAATCAGAAATCCTAAACGAAATGGAACAACAACGTCCTCGTTTCCGCTGTATACCTTATAACGATAGAAAACCATTCTCGCTGATCTATCGTTAGATTATTTATCTCGGATAATCTCGTAAGGCGGATCGAATAGAAAGTAATTTCAGGGTGAAAAGCTGTGACCGTATGCGACTTATCTATGGATCAGCTGTTAATGGAAACTAGGCGTGAATTCGTCTGGTTCGTCGGATAAAAAGGATCCATTTGGTCCCTTCAGGCCCGCAAATATCTCCCCCTCGTGACAAGCTGACCGGGCAGTTATATACGCTAGGAGGAGAACAGCTGAAACTGAAGCGTGTCACGAAAAGTTAACGCGACCAGCCAGAGTTCTCGTGAACGCGAACGACCACCTGACACGAATAAAAGGGACACAGTTTCGTGGCAGGGGGTGCGAGAGCATTGTGTTCCCGTAGCATTCCGAGCACGGGATCGATCGAACACAATTGACTTTCCTAATTTCCTCGTACCGGCCGCGACAAAGTGTGGCTTGTTGCAATTTCGTATTTCGTGCGAGGGGGCGCGGCTCGCTTTATGCGGCTCTGCACACTGCCCCTTTTCAATGAATTCTTTTACACCCGATTCAACGGTCGATGACAATTTTCGCGAGGGATCGAACGGAGCTGATAACCAACTAAACGATATTAGCTTGGCTATAGACGTCGAGTAGATATTACAAATTTTTATCAATGTTTGAAGCTACTTGAGGAGCACTCGAAGCCATCGCTAATGGCCAGTGGCGAACAGGTTGGTCGAATTTCAATCTTCATTCGGGCCGTTAATCGTGTACTAGGTTGTTGTATGATAAAGGTTTCATTGAACGGAGAAAAGGAGGCGTACGATGGAACGTATCGGTTTAATACGTGCAAAGGAGATTGCCCGTATGTCACGGAATAGATTGCCGTGTCTCGGATGGCGTTGAAAGGTGTTAGGCGCAGGGGAGGTGGATGGAACGATATCGGGGACACGTTAACATTAGACACCGAGTGAATAGCTTGTCGTGCAAATGCACCGGGAGGCCTCTATTGAATTAAGAACGACAACGATGCAGCGTGATGATCGATAAAAGGTAATGCGCTCGTTCGGTGTGCGGGGCCGATGCAATTTCGACTGTGTTCCTTTGCAAGACCGTCAGAGGGGAGCCGATAAAGGCGAGTTAATTGGTAAGTGGGTGAGAATTGTCGCGAACCGTGAAGGGGCGAGGAACAGTTCGATCAATAGAGTTTTTCTATAATTCGACCCGACGACAAGCGGCACGTGAACGATGAGTTTCACGCGTGATGCTGTTCGTATACTTTTGACCGGTCCATATGTTCCCGCAAAACCCGCCCGTCCGAAGATGACCCCATTCACGGTACGATCACAATGGCGCGAAATGTGCTGCCGTTAAATCGAGCTATAGGTCGGGACCCGTGTTCAATGGCATGACTACAGCCTCGTTAGTTTGTCATTCGGGAATGATATATAATTTTACAGCGTTAACGTTACGAGAGTAAGCTACTGTTCCCAGTTCAAGCTTTACGAACGGATTCGATCGTTTAATCGCGGTTGTAAATTTCAGCGAGCGATCAATGATTTTCTTACGGTTTAACGGAGCAGACGAAGCAAATTGATGGCTATTTTGGTACAATAAAAGTCTAACTATCAAAGTCACGGACTGTAATTGTTATTGCGTTCCAGCGAAGTGGCTCAGACGCGAAACGAATGCAGAAAACATTGTTCTGTTTAATAATAAAAAGCAGAATATTGATTCGTTCTATTTTTGTATTAGACTCGCTTCGTTTCACTTCCTTTAACCGTATTATACGGTCGTCCATCGTTCTCGCGAACGAGTGGAGAGACAAAAGGTAAAGTAGATAAGACGCAAGATGATTAAATAATGACAGTTCTCTTACCTAAATAATGGCAGTTCTACGTCCATTGATGCTGCGCCGGGGGCGGAGGCGGCGGCGGCAATGGCAGGGGTCTCTCCAAAACAGGAACAGGGGACACGTCTGGCATGGCGAACCTTAGCTTCTGCCAAAACAACTTGTCCCCCCACACCAGCACGGTGTGCGAGGAGATTCTCTTTTTGAGATCGGCGTCGAGATCCCGTGGACACACACCGCCTACCAGCAGCAGGATCACCGAACGGCCCTTCCCTTTCAGAGCGTCCCTAAGCGCCGCTTTAAACTCGAACCTGGCCCACTCGCCGTGCAGAAAGTTCTTCGACAGTACGAGGATGGTGCGCCTCGAGGAATCGGCAGCCTCGGCCACTGCATCCGCAACGTTGCTACCGGCGCCCAGGTCCCGGTAGTGCAAACACAAACGATACGAGGTCTCCAGACCTGGTACCAGGATCGTCGATACGAACGCTTCGTCGACAGCCGAATAGGAGATGTATGCGTCGAAGGGTTTCTCCTGATCCTCGAACGCGGCAGTTTTGTAGCAAGCTCTCAAACCGCATCTGCTCGCTGCCCATGTCCTGAGCGTACGACGATGCCTGAAGGCGCCGCACACCAGCGCGACCATAGCAAAAATCAGCACCGCGGTGGCGAGCAGTAGCGGCAGATAAGCCTCGAGCGGTCGGCTCTCGATGACCGAGGTCGTGCCGGTTAACGCGGCGCAATTTATGACCGATCCGTTGGTCGGAAGAGTAATAGGCACGCCGAGGGAACAGGTGACGCTACGCCAGTCGCTGATCTTTGCTCGGTTACGGGACATCCACTCGCGCACACGATCCAAGTAAGAGCACTCGCAGCTCCATGGGTTGCTCGACAAACCGATGTCAACCAGATAAGGATTCTGTCCGAGTTGCCAAACGGCGAAAGTGCCGAGCCGATTGTTCTCCAGCCGTAACACTTCCAGCTGACGTAGCGGAAGAAACGTTTGGTTATCTATATAAGTCAGTAGATTGTTTTGTAGGTAGAGCTCCTTCAGGTTCTCCAACGGCATCAATTCTACACCGTTGAGCACGCTTATCTTGTTGTTCTCCAGATGAAGGACCAACAGACGCTTCAAACCGCTGAAAGTGTGATTCCGTATAGCGATGATGTTGCTATCGTTCGCGTACAGGATCTGCAGGTTCTTCCGGCCGATGAACGAGTGGGAATTCAATTCCCCGAAATTGTTTCCATCGAGGTAAACCTCGGTGGCGTCCATCGGCAATCGACCGGGTAGCGTTTTGTAGCCGGAGTTCGAGCAATCCACCACGTTCGCCGACCAGGATTGATCGTGATAGCAAGTACAGTTGGTCGGGCAGGTCATCTCGCAGTCGCACGCGTCGAAGTCGCAACAATGACAGAGCGCGAAACAGTGAGCCTTGTACGTGCAGAGAAATTGAGACGGTTTAGCCTCGAGCAACGGTATGTAAGATTTGTGTCGATCGTAGGGAAGCCGGCAATAAACCGACTCGAGATCCATTACCCTCGGGTGTTGCCTCAGCGACAGCGAATTGATTCGTTGCAACCACTCGGTGGTGCAGTCGCATATGAACGGATTGCCTCCTATATAAAACTCGGGCAATTGTCGGTAAGCTGGGACCGGTGTCAACTGAAGCGCGGACAGATTCATCTTGACTATCTGATTCGCGTAAAGATCGACCCTGGTCAGATTCTTCTTGTCGAAAAACGTTTGCGGTTCGACCGTTTGTATCAGATTATCGTTGACGAACAGTAGCTCGATGGAATCCGGTATCGACCTCGAGTGTATCCTCGTTAGCTGGTTGAACGACACGTCGAGCGTCTGTAATCTCATTCCCTGTGGCGCGACGCCGAGATCCATAATAAGATTTTTATGCAGATCCATCCACTGCAATTTCTCCGGCAAGTAACCGTAATCGAACTGCGCGATCATGTTGTCGGACATGTTCAACCATAGGAGACCGGGCGCGCTCGCGAACATACCGGACATGTCCTGCAACAAATTCGAGTCCAAACGAATCGCCTGTAAAGCCGGGTTCGCGGAAAACACTCCGTCCTCCACCGTTTCGATCTTGTTCCTGGCCAAATTCAGGATCTGCAATGCTGGCAGCTCGGCGAAATCCTCGACGGTGACGTTCGTGATCTCGTTCTCGATCATTCGTAATCCGTAGAGACTGGACATTCCACGAAAACCCGGCCTGTTCAAGGTTCTGATTTGATTCTCACCAAGGTCCAGGGTACGGAGCATTCTCATGTCCTTCAATGCGACCGGTATGCTGTCCAGACTGTTCCCGGACAGATTCAGGTCCTGCATACTGGAGCAATTTCGAAAGGCATCCGGGTGAATACCTTCGAGTTGATTAGAATCGAGCGACAGCAGGGAAAGTGCGAACAGCCCGTTCAGAGAGTAAGCGTCCAGGTAAGTTAATCGATTGTACGCTAGATCTAGCGTGTGCAGATTACTCATCGGCGCGAACGTGTCCGCCGGTATCGTCTCGATCTCGTTGTACTGCAAATTCAATATCTGCAGGGTGTAAAGGTCTTTGAAGAGGGCCGGGTCCAACCGACTGATTCGATTATGGGACAGATTCAAGAGGACCAGCCGAATCAATCCGGAGAACGTAGCGGAGTTTAGCCACGAGCTGGTCAACGCGTTCCTCGACAGATCCAACGCTACCAGCTGATTCATGTCGGCGATCAGGCCCGGCGACAGTACGCTGATCGAGTTATTCTGCAATCGTAACTCCTTCAAAGATTTCGCCGAGTCACGAAACATTTCCGTCGGCAACGCGACGATTCTGTTGCTCGATAAATCGAACGTCTCCAACGATCTAAGCCCGTGCAATGCCTCGTCCGCTACCATGGAGATCGCGTTGCTGGATAAGTTCAATACTCGTAGCCTCTTCAACGAGGAAAATCCGTAAGCAGGCAGCACCAAAATTTGATTATTCGACACGTCCAACGACTGCACGTCCAAGGAACATGGATACGGCGACGGTGTGGATTCCTGTTGACGTCTCGGATGTTTCTCCGTCTCGATGTCTCTGAAGCTAAGCTCACCGATGTCCTTCAACATGTTCCAGGAGATGTTCAGAGTAAGCAAGTTCGACAGCGGGCAAAACAAGTGTTCCGGTATCTGCCAGATGTTGTTCCACGATAAATCAATCTTCTCGATCTGCGGGACCGAATCGAACGCGCCGTTCTCCAGCTCCAAACTGTAATTGCTCTTCCGCCCGTTCAAGCTTCTGATCGTCAGATTGCGAAGATCTCGGAGACCGCTGAGAACTTTGGCCGGCCAGTGTACCAGCTTGCATCCAGTCAACCTGAGTGATCGCAATCTCCATAACTGTACGAACCCGTCGACGTTCAGGACACCGTTTCCCAGTGACTCGGATTCCTCGCAGACCACGTTCACCGTGGTCACGTACTCGCTGGTAGCTTGAGAAAAGTTCGTTCTGAGCGAATCGTTGCCGACGTAACGATGCACGCAAGTGACCGCGCCATCCTGTCTCGACTCCCAGGAACAATGCTCGGGCAGATCGAGCCTGGGTGGTAGCTCGCTGGTCACGGCGAGCACGTGGTATACCGGGACCAGAAGACAGTAGTAGTAAACCAACGACAGCGAGACCGATCTCCTCAGCCCTTGCGGACCGGCAAGCCCACGCATCTTTAGCGAACCCGTTGCCTTCCCGTATTTCCGCTCCTCTGTCTCCTCCCGGTCATCACACGCCTCCCACCGCTCTTATTAACGCACGTTGTGGTCGCTTCTGTACGCCCTCCAGTATTTACTACGAATGACTCGCATGTGTGGCGCTGCCTCTCGACGCCGATCGTTGATCCTCGATCGTGAGTAGTCTTAATGACTCGAATGTTTGTTGTTAAGAATTCCGGAACACGACCACTCGTCGAACTCGTCTGCCTCGTCTTCTGTATACGGTCCTTTTAATCGAGCAGAAGAGGCACAATATTATCGCGTTTCACTGAGTGTTTTCAAGTAGTCTACACTTAAAGAATCACACTTCACCCGACCGGCAAATCGTCCGCGTTTCAAACATTTCGAGCCGAGATACTCGACCGGTTTGACTGAAAGTATCGTATTACCGACTGAATGAATCCTCGAGATGATTACGTACAAACGTCGTGACGCTTAGTGAATTCAGTTCGCGCGTTTCGTTTTCTCTCCTCTTGTCAAAATGATACTTGTTTACGTTGCTTAGTCATCGGGGGATCGACAACGTTCACCGCCTCCCTGTTCATACTTTTGCTCGACGAATTATCCGACACTAACCTAGAGTTCCGGTGAAATTTTATGTTTCCTATTCCGTTCGCGAAATGTCCCATTGCCAACGCGCGTGCATCGCACCGTTTCCAATAAGCAACGTAATCGACACGGTTTGAAATTGCGATCCTTTCTCACCGAGTTTCCATCGCTCTTACGATCAAAATAAATTCGCACGAGTTTCCCGGATATTAAGGACGAGAGCAAGAGAAGAGAATAGAATATCCGTAGAGCACGACACTCCAAACCATAACACTCGCTACGGCGACCACCGCGCAACTGACGGTTGAGATCTCCTCAGCATCTAACTCGACGCATAGCGTCCACGAATCGTTCCTTCCCCCTCCACTGGCGGCAGCACTAACACACCGAGGACCGGCATCCAACTTCAGTGAGCACGCGCCTCTCCTCGGACCCGCCATAGTCGAACGAAGACAGCATACGTTCTCGTCCTTTCCTCTTTCGACCTGTGTGAAAATAACGCGCGCTTTTGTCCACGAACGGTGTGTTGTCTTCCTATCCACGCAGCGTACGGCCTGCTGTAACGTAAGTGCGAAAAAAAGGTACGTCGTGCACGCAAACTATCTCTATCTTGTCGACATTTGCAGGTTGGAGAGTATTACCTGTGCATCTCGAAGATGTTGACTGCAAACGAGACACCTTACACCTCCACGTCCACGGCCACCCTCATCTTACGCGATGAAATCTTATTCTTAACCAGAACGACCACCCTGCTCTACGGAAGGTGAGTCAAGAACGTATAAGATTTTATTCGAACGCGTTTCTCGATCGCTTGCATGCGCACGCCATTGTCGTTGCGTGGGAGTGGAAAATACTTTAAACGACGAATTTCTTTATTTCGTGTTCAATTTTCTAGCTTCAAATTCAGGTCATTCTAGTTGAATTCATTTTTCGTTTAATAAACATGTGTATTTCTATGTAATTAAACGAAACGTTTTGTTGAAACAAAATGGCTGCCGGAGCACGTGCATGCATAGAGAGTATCGAATTCGCGCAATCGATCGAGAAACATTATATCATTCGATATTTTTCGATTCTGTTTTGTTGCGTTGTTATTTCACCCACTCGATCAAATGTTTGCATTATCATTGCAAATATCAATTGTATTTAATAAATTTAAGTAAATATCAAAACGATCGCGAATTAAAAATAACTATTATAGATGGCGCGGTCATCGAAGAGGTTAGTTTTAAACGTGTTATTAGCCATCAGTGTTAACAAAATAACAACCTCAAAATGAAACAATGTACGATTTTACGTTCTGATAAGGATAACGATATTATACGTTCCGAGAATCATTACTCGATTCGATTTCTTTAAAAAGAATTATCTTCCTGCAGCATCCGATACAAGACACCCAGTGTCTATTCGCGTCTACACCCATCTATCGTATCTTTCGTATCGATAAAAGTAAGGATGTGTCGCTAAGGTGGAAGAAAGATGGTCGAATGGGGCGAACTTGCACGAAGAAGAGCGAACCGGTCTCTGCGCTGCTTCTCTTTGCCTCTCGCGTTTCTCTATCGCGATCCACGCGATATTCAGAACACACCACCCCTGTCCAAGGACTGTTCATAAAAAGGTTTCGATCAATTTTTAAGTGGTCGACCGACCAGCGCGCTTGTCTGTTTCTCTTTGTATCGTCGCGGCTTTCGAGGGGGGGGTGGAAGACGCGGGAGAGGACGTATTTATACGCGAGTCTGCGATCCTCGCGAACCATCGAGATCTTCGATTTGTGTGTAACACGACGACTGACTCCGCAGGATCGAGTCCTTGATACGCTTTTGAATAAGTCTCGCTGATTCATTCTTGTCCACCCGTCGAGAGACTTTCGAGTTGATCGATGATGATCCCGGATGATTTGTATTATGTATCCTGTCGAGGTGAATTGAATTTCGGGGAATCCGCGCGAGTAGCATGCTTTCCACGGCACGAACAGCCTCGAGAGTAATCGAGATCAGCTTTGGCTTACGCGCGATTCGATTAGCGATCTTTTAATTTAATTTAACGCTTCGATGCTCGATATTAGATATTTCTGACCATTTAATTTATTTCCATTTGAAATTTGAAATTATTAGCGGTATTTGTAGTTCCATAAGATTTCCTTTGAACCAGTTTTCCAATCTCGAGTAAAGAATTCTGAAACTTTCAAGTAGTAGAAGCAATATTCGATAGGGGCGGTTCTTTCACGAATGATCGATCACCTTCTTAATTGATACACATACCAAGGTGAAAGAGATTCTTGGATGGTATCACCTGTTAGGAAGAATTATCGGTCGTGAATGAACGTCAGGAACTAACCAACTGGTTCGTTCCTCCGTCGTCGGTTCGGCCCGTGTATTATTTAATCTACGCGGAGACACTTCATTATTCGAGGCCGGTAATTAACGGGAGGATCCTCCATCTGGCTCGACGAATTACGCAAGTCTTCCGATAAGAATCGGTAAAAAACTGGCTGCTACCAACCTACCGGATGGTCTCTCGAAACGTAATTAATACTTCTTACCGTGTCGGGGTGAGATCGCGCCCTGTGGGCGCTCGTAATTAAAACCGTTAGGAAAGAGAGGATCGTGGATCGTTATAACTGCGATGAGAGGTTCGCGGGAGGTCGAAGAAAGTTTCCTTCGCCAGCGGGAAAGAGGCCGAGAGCAAAGTCAACCGTGGGGAGCCGTAAACTCCGACGTTTGCCAGAAATAGGTCTGCCCGACGCGGCTGTTGGGCGTACGTGTATACATACAGTATTTCTATGTGTGTATGTACACAAGCTTGCCCGGACGGACAGGTGCTGGTGTAAGAAAGGGCCAGGAACACTTGTTCGCGCTAGATAACTTCCGTTTTCCCTCGCTTTGGACGCTGTTTATCTTATTTACACTGTGTTTTACCCGTTTCCAAAGTTTCTCGAACTGAATCGTTCTTCCGTGAACGTAACACAGAGAAGAAGAAGAAGAAGAAGAAAGAGGGAAGGCAATATAATCGAGGACGGTTTCGTTCTTTGGCTCGGTCCGTTCTTCGGCAGGAACTTTTCTCTTCGATTCGGATATCAATTAGCGGCGGATTCAGTTTCCATGTAAGAGGAGGGAATCGCGTCAGTGACCGTTCGTCGCGAAGTAACGGCTGGCCGAGAATGACGATGAAAAAGAAGTTTTAATTAAAGCTAGAATAAGAGTTTAATCGAGCGAAAGGGATTAATTGCCCGGGGGGTTCGAGCGAACGAGGGGTCAAAGAGGCTGCTTCTGCTGTTGCTGCCTGCTCCTCGATGATTCCGTGGCTTCTCGAGTGGCACGGACAAGAGAGCCGCCCCATAAATACTCGCCTCGAATGCTTCTCTCTGAAAGCCCTTTTTCGTTCGCAAACAAAACCGACCGCCTCGATACTCTCGTGCCAATGGGAACCGATGTTATTAAAAGGCTACCGAGCTTTACTTTTCTGGTAGGTAACGTCTAACCTCCACGTCGTTCAGTTCACGAGCACACTTTTCCAACAAGACTTTTAGTTACTCCGTGTCGTATTGATTCATTTAAGGCTTTGTGTACAAGCTAGCCTCCGATAACTATTTATTGTAGGTACACTCTAAAAATACTTACCGTATGAATTTCTTCTATTCTATTCTTATCGAATAGAATTTTCTTTACGTTTTTCTTTGCTTTCCCCTGTATTTTACAACCGTTGTAGAATCACTTTTGTATTTACAATGAAAACCGTTTCGATTGCAGTATTTCGTAAACAACACAATTTCACGATCGTGTAACATCGCTAACAGTTCTACAGAAAAAAAAAAAAAAAAAACAAATCCATCGATCGCGTTACAACATACATATGCATGCATGTACGAACAAGCGAGGAAAAATTCGAACCTCCTCTGAATGTCGTCGATTTGACGGTCCTTAGAGCGTATAAATCGCCGCGCGTTTCCATGTTCTCGTTCAAATAACGAATGTACGGTTGAAAGTACCGGGAACACGGTTCATCGATTTGGTGGCAGTTTCGGAAAAACGAGCCGCCAAGGACCGAAAAACATTTTGCCCCGTAGAATATCGACGCGAGCCCGGGCTCGTGACACTCTTTGGGTCGCTTTTAACGGACCGTATAGTCCCGTCGATCTATGGCCGTTCAGAAATTTCTGACGCGGAACATCGTCACCCAGCCACCGGGTGTAATGCGCGACAACAGAGTACTTTACGACGATTTGATTTACATCGAATTTTTCCCGGATTCCCGCGGTATTTCAACGCTGCGATATCGAAAATTCCTCCCACCGTACATACGCGACCCCGATTTCATTCGCTACTTTTTCTTCAACGAATCGAACGGTGTTAATGTCACAAAAAGGAAAAGCGGATACGAATGCCGGTAGTTGGAACATTTAACCGAATACATACACCGGTGTTTAGGAATAGGATTAAATTCAATATGCACGTAGATCGATCAAATATAAACTGGTATTGTTTTGTAGTAATTAAACATGCAAATGTGCATTGTTACAATGATTCGAGGAAATTAATGGGGCTGTTCAGACCCGCTTTGCACAATTCGTTTAGTCCTGCGGTCATCCTGTTGACACTTCGTGTGTCATGTATTCGCGTTGTCGATATTTAACTCTTCACGCTACTGTATTTAATCTTTTTTCACTGTACGACAGAAATTCTGTGCATTAGGTAGAAGAAGGTTCCTCCGATCGTTTCTAGGAAGCATCGACATACAGGTTTCTAGGAAGGTGGTTGGTTTTCTCGAAAAGAACAGCTTCTTCGCGAAAAGTGGCTCATTCGCGGTATCCCAGTTCGTTTCTCCTTCGTTCTACGGAAAATACCGGTGAAACGCGGTTGGATGAAAGCGTTGCGCCTTCTACGGCAGAAGGTTCTTTTATTCTGGAAAACTTTCTCGCTCGTGCATCTTCTGTTACGTAAAATTTCACCACCATACTTTTCCCTCCGCGCGAGGACGTGGAAACGATTGCAACGTAGCGGGAGTATGATATCCATTAATTTCCCTGTTTTCCCGTTGTCCTTCGTTTCTTTATCGCGTCCAGCAAATACGAGCGACGCAAGCACGACGAGGTAAATCTTAGAAGCGACTCGAAAGCTTTGCTCGAGTGCTCATCGACGACGCGATCGACCCTCGAATTCCGATACTACCGTCGTCTCCAAGTTTTCAATCTCCTTTCCGTCGTCAACCCTTTTCGCTCAGACGTCTATCGATAAATTGTAAATACTGCCGAGTGGCTCGATATTGAAAGACAGTCGCGGCACAGTGATTGCCAATTACTTTCAGAACCGACCGTTTCCTTCCCCTTTTTACCAGCGACGCGTTTTATTTTCGCTCGTTATTCGCATCGAGACGGTAGTAATTATTAGGTACAGCCTATATTCATTTATTTTTCCTTACGCATCCTTTGAGAATATTAGATGGTAACTACTGTCGATCGCATTTAGTTACTTCCATGATACATCATCGTTCGTCTCGTTAAAGGAGACGCACAGCAAAACCGATCGGGTAGAACGATTCGAGTGCGTGCAATTTTTTACTGGTACCCGCCATCGATTCGATCGATGCAAGTCAGATCGATTCGAAGGATGCACTTTTTGCAAGAACTGCGTTTCTACTTCGAATTCCGAACGGTCTACTTGGACCCGGCCCTACATCCGTTCGAATTTCGGCTTCTCCTTTTCACTTTTTCTCTGCCGAAAGATTCACTTTCTGGAAGAAGAATTGATATTGCTGATGGTTTAA